CATGTTAGCACACCATTCTCGCGCAGCATGTTAGCACACCATTCTTGTGAAACATGTTAGCACATAATGCTCCAGCTGCATGTTAGCACACCATGCTCCAGCTGCATGTTAGCACACCATTCTCGCGCAGCATGTTAGCACACCATTCTTGTGAAACATGTTAGCACATAATGCTCCAGCTAAATGTTAGCACACCATGCTCCAGCAGCATGTTAGCACACCATTCTCGCGCAGCATGTTAGCACACCATTCTTGTGAAACATGTTAGCACATAATGCTCCAGCTGAATGTTAGCACACCATGCTCCAGCAGCATGTTAGCACACCATTCTCGCGCAGCATGTTAGCACACCATTCTCGCGAAGCATGTTAGCACATAATGCTCACGCTGCATGTTAGCACACCATGCTCCAGCAGCATGTTAGCACACCATTCTCGCGCAGCATGTTAGCACACCATTCTTGTGAAACATGTTAGCACATAATGCTCACGCTGCATGTTAGCACACCATGCTCACGCAGCATGTTAGCACACCATGCTCGCGCTGCATGTTAGCACACCATGCTCGCGCTGCATGTTAGCACACCATGCTAATCCAGCATGTTAGCACACCATGCTAATCCAGCATGTTAGCACACCATGCTAATGCAGCATGTTAGCACACCATGCTAATGCAGCATGTTAGCACACCATGCTCGCGCTGCATGTTAGCACACCATGCTCGCGCTGCATTTTAGCACACCATGCTAATGCAGCATGTTAGCAAACCATGCTAGTGCAGCATGTTAGCACACCATGTTAGTGCAGCATTATAGCACACCATGTTAGTGCAGCATTATAGCACACCATGCTCCAGCAGCATGTTAGCACACCATTCTCGCGCAGCATGTTAGCACGCCATTCTCGCGCAGCATGTTAGCACACCATGCTCCAGCAGCATGTTAGCACACCATGCTCCAGCAGCATGTTAGCACACCATGTTAGTGCAGCATGTTAGCACACCATTCTCATGCAGCATGTTAGCACACCATGCTCGCGCTGCATGTTAGCACTCCATGCTCGCGCTGCATGTTAGCACACCATGCTCGCGCTGCATGTTAGCACACCATGCTCGCGCTGCATGTTAGCACAACATGCTAATCCAGCATGTTAGCACACCATGCTCGCGCAGCATGTTAGCACACCATGCTCGCGCAGCATGTTAGCACACCATGCTCGCGCAGCATGTTAGCACACCATGCTCGCGCTGCATGTTAGCACACCATGCTCGCGCTGCATGTTAGCACACCATGCTAATGCAGCATGTTAGCAAACCATGCTCACGCTGCATGTTAGCACACCATGCTCGCGCAGCATGTTAGTGCTGCATGCCAGTCCAGCATGTTAGCCTAGCATTTTAGGTCATCATGTTAGTGCATCATCTTAGCGTGTCATGTTAGCGCAGCAAGCAAGTATCATTTGCTGCTTCTAAACTAGGATCAAGTCTTAACTTCAGACGCCTGGAAGCTTCAGTTTGGCATCAAACAAACATTAAAACCAGATCCAGGGTCAAAGTTCACAGCAGAAACTAAACTGGAACAGTTCCTGCAGAATAAACCTGAAAACCTGCAGTAGTTCATCTCAGCGCTCATTCAGCAGCTCTCAGTCTTTGGTCTGTAAACAGATTGATGTTGGAGGAAACCTGCAGACCTTCCTCTCTGTTAGCCCTAGGCTGGAGCTCTATCATCCTGAACACAATCAGAGGCAAATCAAAGACCCGCCCTTCATTCTCATTGGTCGGTGGGAAACTATTATAATTAACTAAATATCTGATGTTAAAATGCGACATAAGTTAACCTTCCTTTATGAAATAGTCCACAACGATTTCTCTGTTCCTTGAATCCTCCCTGCAGGCGTCTAATTTAACCAGACAGACGTAGTCAGCGGGATTAGCGGAGCGTCTGTGATCCAGGCGGAGCGATGATCAGCTAAATATTTTAATGCAAACCCAGATTATAAGAATATTTCCGTAATATTTCTATCCTGCTTTGTAATTCAGGACTGAATCATTAGCAGCTTCAGTCTAACCTCAGCAGGTCTCCTCTGCTCTCTCTGCTCTTAGTCAAGGCAGAACCCTGAGCTGCCTGACAGACGGCGCTGAGGGAAGCAATAAAAATGGGACGACTGCTGCTTTCACTGCAAGTCCCTGAACTCAGCATAAAGTCACCAGGTTGTCTCTAACCAGGCATCCTTCTCTGCTCAGAGCAGCTAGCTGTAGCCACCTGTTAGCTGCACTGCAGGAAGTGCTGGGGTTGTTTTTTTTTTTTTTTCAAAATAAAGCACATTTGAATATTTCACTGTTTTTCAAACTCAGATTCTGATTAGAATACGTGAGTATTATACAGTCTACAGTCTGCTAAACTAGAAGCTCTACATCTTTTTGGGATATAATTTATTCTGAAGGTTTGGAGGCTTTTATTTTGGTGACAGTGGCTGCATGTTCTTCGTGTTGGTTCTGGTATCAAAGCATTAAACCTGCTGCAGGATTAGTTACTAATTAGTTACTAAAGATAGTTACTAATTATAATTAGTTACTAATGATAAAAGACCATCTGAAGCTTTTTTTGGCTGCAGCTGCTTCTAAGAACTCTGGTTTATTTCTGCTGCTGTTTGACAGGATTGTACTTTAATAACGTTAATAACCCCCTCCCCCAGACCCCTGCTTCTGGACGCTGTGCTTCAGCGACATGCGCTGGCTGAGGAACCAGGTGGTGGCGCCGCTGACGGAGGAGCTGGTGTTCAGAGCCTGCATGCTGCCCATGCTGGTGCCGTGCGCCGGCCCCTTGACCGCCATCTTCACCTGCCCCCTGTTCTTTGGAGTCGGTGAGACAAACTGTGATGTAAAGCTGTTCATAGTCCAGATTCAGCAGAGATCAGGAAAACGTCCTGGTTTCTGAGTAAATATGGCCGCTGGGTTTGTTGATCTGTCTGACCACATAAAGACCCACCTGCACCAGAAGCACGATCCTTATCATCAACCAGTTATACATCTGTGTCGCCCTCCATTTTATTTATAAAAAAGACCAAAATGAAATTTTTCCTCTTAAATTAGTAGCTTTAAATCTGAAAATAAAAAGTTTAAATCACTGCATAGATTCTTTTAAAACCTCTTTTTCAAACAAACATGTTCTTCTTTTAATCAACAATGGAATAAAAATTCAGTCCATAAAATTTTAATTGGAGTACATTTTTATCAAAATTGTGACAT